TGATCACCAGCAGCTAGCGAAACTTATCCAGGAGTCACCGACTGTTGAATTGAAAGAAGACTTAGAGTGTGAACTGGAGACATTAGTTGGAAAGATGGAAGCAAAAGCCAATCAAATAACTAAAGTTCGAAAATATCAATCCCAGGTAACGCACTGTTCATTCACTCATTTGTAAAGACTGTTGGGGGCTGGGGTGGTGACAATTTTTCTCTGAAACTTATTAAATGGATGACACTAAATGAATCATAGGTAGGGCGCTAAGGGCTTCTTCCTTTAAATAAGTGAAAACACTTATTTGATTAATTAAATCTATGCTAAAGGATAATAGGAGAGTCTGTGACTCACATTTCATCTCAGTTGTAAGTATAAATTCCATGAATTGGAATAGTGCCAAGTTTACCCAACTTTCTTCAAAAACACCTAGATACATGTAACTACGTGAAAAAATCTTTTGCTATGTGTATGACTCACTTCCATTGGGTCAATACTGACCATAAAGAATAAGGTTGAACTGCCTCTGGTTTCTAGAGCTTAGTTTCTTAGGAGATATTACCAATTGCTGTGGATTCAACTCTGACTCATAGTGACTTTGTGTGTGCCAGACTGGAACGGTGCTCTCTAGATATTAATGACTGATTTTTTTCAGTAGGGCCCTGAGACTTTTTTGAGCAGACAGATCTCTAACCGTCTGGCTAGCTGAGGATAGTGGCCATTGGTACCATGCAGGGACTCCGAGGTCCACAGAGCCTCAGTGTAATTAAGTAATTTGTCCAACAGTAGAAAAGGGGCTTCAGAAAGCACTGTATATACTCGTGCGTAAGCTGAGTTTTTTCCAGCACATTTTTTAATGCAGTTTTTGTGGTAAAATGAGGTGCCTGGGCTGATATTTGGGTCGGCTTATACTCGCGTATATATGGTATGTGGGAAAATGGAATTATAAGATAATGGAATTTTTCCAGGAACTTTTCGAAGTCCACTCATAATAGTCCACTACTAAGTGACAGCACTCTTGTGGCACAAGTGAGCACTCTCCTGAGCTGGAAGGTTAGCAGTTCCAAGGCATCAGCAAAGGCAAGCCTGGAAGCCTGCTTCTGAAAGATCACAGTGGTGAAACCCCTGTAGATCGGGTCTGTGCACATCAGGGACTGCCCACAACAGAGCCAACAAACGGGACAACAGTTTAGCTAAAGTAGAAATACACTGGCAGGTAAGCTTTGGACTGTTAACTGTTAGGTTGGTGGTTCCAACCCACTAGTCTCTCTGAAGAAGAAAGATAAGACTGTTCACAGAAAAATTTACATGAGGTCATGAAGCAAATTGACCTGATGGCACGGGAGTAGAGTTATTTTCGATTAGTCATAAAAATAAAGAATACAATTTTAAATTATTTTCATAGTATTGTTATTACCACTACATCTTTTATGAGTCTGGAACATGCTGCGTTGCCTGCTCAGGCGAGTTATCCTCTACTCCATTTCAAACCCTTCTGATCCTTCAGTCCCTCAGATTTTGGGCACAGTGGGTTACATGTTGGTCTGCTAATCACAGGTTAGCATTTTGAAACTTGAAGCTGCTCTGCAGGAGCCCAATGCGACTTCCTACTCTCATAAAGTTTCCACCTCGGAAACTC